TATGGGTCACGCCCTTTCAAGAAGAATGTGGGCATTAATCAGTAGCGGTACCAAATAACCAACTTGGCGGCATTTGGTTTTAAAACCCGAAATCATGCATTTTACTTAGAAAATCAATAATGATTGGAAACTATAGCTTAATCGATAGAATTGTAGGACCGAAAGAGTGTGCGTGGGTGTTAACTCTTCCCCACTTGTAACCGAGTCCCACAGACCTTAGAACTCTAGTTTTCACGATAGATTAGTAGCTTAGCTTAGGTGGTAAATGTCCGATGCTACATCGGTAGTAGATCTCCTATTGGTCTAGGACTTACCCCAATTAGATTGGTGGTGACTCCACATTTGATTAGAGAGCGAATCAATGATATATATATATATATAGTACCCGGACCTAGGATTTAGGAAGATCCTAGGAACTTATGCTGCCCTTTGAACCAGATGGCCCTAGATTGGCAAACCCCGCCAGTGGGAGGGACGTCTACATGTTATACGTGCATTGTGGGTTGAGCAAGAAGAGAAGTTGTCGTCTCTTTTTGTAGCTATTCCCACCTTTGGAACTTTCGAGACTTGTGGGTTGGGCTTGGATCAAGCCCGTTATGGGCGGCCCAAGTCCAAAAACCCAATAGAACCCATCGGGTTATGAACTATAAGGAGTCGCTCCAAGTCGCCCGCCGTCAACTCAGGCTCCCGTATCTGCCGGCAAGGGAATAGCTGCCGCCATGCCGGGACTAATTCCTAGCCCTACTCAACCATTGCTCTCCTTGACTAGAGCAACGAAGAAAATGCGAACCATTTGTGGAAATCCAATCAACTGCAAATCCATCCTACCCTAATTATAGTCAATGACATTGTCATTCGTCAATTGGACTAATACGTCTTGTCTATGGTAAGTCAAGTTGAATGTGTCGTGTCAATTATCTTTTGAATGCTTGGAAATGAAATAGTGTCTTTCGTATGCTTCCTAATATTATAAAAGTGTGTCCGAAATCTTCATTGGCGACGCTTCTCCTTCAAATCATATCACAAGTTCACTGGTTTAAATTTTGAAACTCAGTATTGAGTCATGAACCACACTCGATTCGTACTGAATATCTGTCATTGATGATAGTTCTAAGTTCGTTTCCGACAGATGTCAAGTTCCAATCAAATTCGACCTTTACTTTGAATTTGTTTGGTGGGATACTATATCGACAAAAGGTGCTCATGTTACTCTTGGTTGTTCGTAATTGTATGTTTTAGACGGTATTCACCATGGAAGAGAAAACACTTGCGTGTTCACGTCTGCTGAAGTACGAATTATTTTGACTTCCATGAAAGGACGTCCATGCAACATGTTGACGTCGAGTTTCTTTATCATCTAAATTTCGATCTCTCTTGTTAGGATCCTAGTGTATAATGTGTGCTTTTTTTAGTGTTTATCATATGAGGCACCTCAATTTATCGGTGATGCTCTAAATACCGGCATCATATAAGTCTTCCATCAGACGTTTACCATGAATCAAATTGAGATTACTGAATTGTAACCAAGAGCTCGCATCTCCTTTTCTTTCCGTTCTATTCTCCGTTTCTCTTTCCTTTCTTCTTACCCTATTTTGCTAACCTTTCTACTGTTCTCAACTAATTTCACTACGCAAAATTTGGTCCCGCGTCACTTTGGCATCAAAAGCAACATCCGTCCTACTAGTATATGGTATTAGAGCAACATTAATCTTACTGGCTCCGTTTCTTTTGCAGATAATGAATGATTTCCAAAGCATTTTCCCAAAAACAATTTTTTGTATCGCTTACAAAAATGAATGGACGAAATATATTTTCACTGTCCATCGTCCACGAAAATAGAGAGTGGCGTAACCTGGTGAGAGCTGAGAAGGGTTGCAAAGAGCATGAGCTCCAATTTTGCAGTCGGGTTGGTTCAAGCCCAACCCGGTTAAATGTATGCATAATGGTATCTTCTGAGGGGACTGTCCCGTGTCCTCGGATCGTAGCAAAGGAAATTACATGAATCAAATTAATCACATTTAATAATAAATTCAGGTCTATCCTAATTTTTTGGAAAATAAGCATGAGATGTAGGGATGATTCAATGAGTCATATGATGGTATCCTTAAGTACAGTGAATGACCGTAAAACGACCTTGAGTGATGTTGTACGTTTATAACATCTGGCATCATGGCATGACACTAACAGAATGTGACTAACCTATGTGAAAACACTGAAAAGTCTATGTGATCTAAACGGCCAGTGAATTGGTTGGCTGTGACTGTCGAAAAGCCTTGTTGCATTCTGTTGTTGCGCCCGTCCAGCTCGGCAGCGGAGGTTCCTCCACTTGCTTACCGCCAATGAAGCTCTTGACGATGAAGCATTATCAGTAAAACGAGAATCGGGCAACCTTATATAGTGAACGGTGAGGGATGCTCCATCCTTGTCCTAACATATGATGACCCTTGCCTTCATACAAGATGCCGCGTTGCCCTCTCCTCCGGGGCAACCGGGGTGTTGCCGACAATCGCCGGAAACCTTGCTCATTGATGGCTCCGTAGCCACTTTTCTTAATTTTCCTTTTCACTTTTGTTCTTAAGCTTTCGTTTTCGCTTAGACGTGATTTAATCGACCAAAAGAAGGTTAATACCATCATAAAATGAAATGAGTTACTATTGACGAATGCTTTCACGATAGATCAAGATATTTTATCGCATAACAGTTGAGTGTACCACATGATAAAAGCTTTAACCCGGCGAACTCAATATATAACCATATCGCTCCATCGAGATTATCATTGGGTCCACCAAGGATTTCGTTAAGCGGGCAACTGAATAAACAAGTCAAAAAAGATCCTAATTGCTTCTCATTTGAATCCCCTAGAAGGATCTTGTGATTGTAACGCAATATTTTAACTCTTAAAGCAAAAGAAGTAGAGAAGAAAGCCAATACAAATCCAAGATTCACGTGCTTGGAAAGTTACCAGCTTCGCACGCCGAGAACGAGCTAAAAAAGCTAGAACAACATACATCTTGAATCCTGTGATTGACAGATGTTTATGTGCAAACTATGCTCTTAACTTACCTTTCAATCATAACCCTCGTACAAGACTTTCAAATTGGATCCGCCTTTTTCTCTCGAGGCAACTGCGCCAATTATTAAACCAGTTCCCCCACTCACTTGAATAGATTATCAAAACTCAAAGCTTTTCTCGTGTGGCCGCATTGTCTTGAGACCAGCCCAAAAAGCTTGTATTTTATTGGCCTAATGTGCGGACTTTTGATCACTTTTTCACTCTCAAGATGAATCCCTTTCTTGGCTTCAATTTTGGAGGTTCTTTATTGGGTACTCCAAAGAAAAAAGAATTGCCTCAAGTACATCTTATTCGGCGAACACTTTCGTCTATCTAACGAGTTAAATTTTCGGAACATTTGGCATTGGTCCGAGGAAATTTCACATGTTATCGAAGTAGGAGGTCCCGAGTTTAAATCTTTTCAAACTTCTTTTCCTTTCCATATATATTTTCGCACTTTCATCTTAGGTTAAAATCTAGCCTTAGTGTGAGAGCAGAGTGTTAGAATATTTAAATATTAAAATCCACATTCATTTAACAGTTTAAGATTTTAGAAAAATTGGCAAATGTCCCACAAAATCTGAGAGCAAAATATCAACACTATCCCATCAATTGGATCCCTCTCTAAAAGAAGAATAGATTTAACATATCTGCTGTACAATCACACTAATTATACAATTAGTCTAGTGGTACTTTTGATGACTCCATGGCATATTCATAATCCCAGAGAGTGATTAAATTAATGGGTTAATTTGAACAAAAAGGGCCAATATTGGGTTGATTTTGAGGGGACCACATCCTGGTGTGCCTTGACCTTGAAGGGATAAAGGGAGAAGGTAGGAGTGAAAGGGAGTGTGTGGTGGCATCATGACATTGAGCAGTCTACCCTTTTGCTTGAAGGCTATGCCACCATCTGTTTTTGGTTGCTCAAGTTAAAGCTGTACTTTGAAGCTTTTCTTGGGCTGTCTCTTTTGGTGTAAGGCTAATTTTGTTTTTTGGGTCAGAATGTAAGGCTAATTTATTTACTGCTTAATGTGACAAGATGATATTAAATGGTTTACTTGTTTAAGTAGTGGCAATTCATGATTAGCTCTGGTTCAAGGTTGAATTTATTGTATTCTTCCATAGGGTTCTTCAACATAACCTCCAACGTAGTGTCGATCGATGTAATTGTGTTTGATAATTTGGCATGATTGATCTACATATTGGAGTCTTCAATTTATCTCTTACACCAAGATAACATATTACGGGTTAAAACATAAAGGTTCAAAAAGGGATATCGATGTATCACTTTTCTAGGTTTATTGTTGTTATTCATTTTATTGAATATGCAAATGGAGATAATATCACATTAGTGTCACCTCAGCTTTAACCGAACAAACTAGTGATGACATTGATTTCTTTGGCTGATTACTTTTAAAAAATTAAATTACCTCAAACCTAGGAGAGAGAGAGATAGAGAGAAAAGTGTTGGTAAGATCGGTACCACCATTCCAGTCCTAGCGACCACTTCGCTCCCCCTTCCACCGAGCATCGCCACGCCTTGTTCTTTGTTCTTCTCTTTTATTGTTTCACTTTTCAAGTTTACTTTTTTCGAATTTTTCAAGAATACATATATTTAGTTTCATATTTTTCTTAGAAGTTTTCAAAAGCCACACGGTACAATGCATTTGCCCTTGTTGGCAATTTAGCCGCCACATCAGCATTTTCGTTTACTCTCTTTTAATAGAAGGACTAATTCAAAAAGAAAAATGGCATATATTTCGAGCAACCCGTCGGCAAAAATAAAATAAATAAAAAAGTTATTGCGCATTTTCGAAAAGCACATAAACCATGGTGCCTCATTCCACTTGTATAGGCTTACACGCAGGACAATTAGATTGGTGTCATCTTTTCGGCTAATTTGGCGCCACTTTAGTGGAAGGTGCCGAACTAATCATTCGGGACTAGTCAGTACTGTAGTAGTTATTGAACGGTCACAAAGCTTGTGTCCGTAGTTGTTAATTTTTGTGGGTGTTCCCTAAGAATGATCTTCATATCATTGCGTCTACTGTTCAGATTCAGCAAGGTTTCTACTTCACCTATATATGCCATAGTTTCTCGGCCCACCGCCCATGAGCACCATACATATGGAGGCGAAACACCGGACCAGCGCCGCCGCCGCAGACGACCACGACGACGACCCACCATGCATGAACCAGTCCTGCTTCTTCTGCGCCATGAACGAGCCCGCCCCATCTCTCAGACGCGCCAGAATCGCCGCTTGCTTCGAACAAATCCCCCTCGGCGACGACCCTCAGACCGTCCTCGTCCTGAGCGGCCTCTGGAACGTTGCGATGGCTCAGCCCGACAACCAGGAGTTCCCGTCCCTCGGCCTGTTCGACTGCTTGGCCAGATTGATCCTCCGAGGCGTCCACGATAAGGAGTGGCTCCGGAGAGATCAGAACGTGTACATTCCGTATTATGCCGCTCACGTCGTTGGTTCGTACGTCATGAACAAGGCTCGGTTCGCGGAGAAGGCCGTGAAGTCCGGCGTTGTCCCGGGCCTCATGGAGCTCATGAGAGAGAAGATGAGTTGGGTTGAGCAGAGAGTGGCCGTCCGGGCGCTCGGGCACTTAGCCAGCCACGACGAGGCATTCGAAGCTGTGCTCGAGTTCGAGCAAGAAATCGTGGGACTCGCCATGGAGATCGCTTCCAATTGCCTAGAGGTGGTCTACGATGAGTTCGTCAGCGTCAAGGGAGGGGAGAGAGAGAGATACCACGTCGACCTGGTGACAAGGGGGATCGGAGGGAAGGAAACCGAGGACGCGAGGGCCGAGGAGTGGGCGAGCCAGCTCCAGTGTTGGTCTCTGTATTTACTCAATTGTTTTGCGAGCAAAAACAGAGGCCTTGACTCGATGTGCAAGAGAGAGTTTCTGAGAGAATTGTGCGGGATGTGGGGTGGATTGGCCAATCGACCCTCATCATCACCTGGTGCGATTGGGCTGGTCAGGACTCTATGCCAATCCAAACTCGGAAGGTCAAACATCGCGAGTTCAAGACAAGTCATCGAGTGCCTCTGCAACATCTCCAGGTCATCAGATGATTGCCAGTACATGGCCATCGACAGTCTCCTGCTGCTTCTTAAAGACCCAGATACGAGGCATCAAGTCCTGGACATGGCGGCGGCGGTTCTTGCCGATTTGGTCGAGCTCGACGGCGACCGCGGAGAGAGGAAGAGGATCGGGGAGAGAATCACACGAGCGCTGCTACAAGACTACCACAAGTTCAAGTATGGGAATTTGAAGCTGAAGAGCGGGAGATCGCAGAGGGCCCTGGAGGAGACATGGGACCTGAAGGTGGAGAGGAGGAGGAGAGAGAAGCTGATGTCGGAGGAGGAGGTTAGAGAGAGAAAGGCCGTGGTGGGGTCGTTGAAAAGGGAAGGGAACGAGAGCTTCTGGTGTGGGGAGATCAAGAAAGCCGCTGCGGTTTACACCAAGGCATTGGACCTGTGCTTGTTGAAGATGAGGAAACAGAGGATTGTGATTCACAGCAACAGGGCTCAGTGCCACTTGCTGCTGAGAGACCCGGAAAATGCCATCAGCGATGCCACGAGGGCGCTGTGCTTATCGGGCGCGGCGAGGCCGCACGGGAAGAGCCTGTGGAGGCGGTCGCAGGCGTACGATATGACGGGGTCGGGGAGGGAGAGCTTGATGGACTGCTTGACGTTCATCCACGTCCGGATGAGCAGCCAGCATCCCGACGCTCCGGCCAAGAACAAGATCCCCTACTACGCGACGCGGATGCTCAACAAGCAGATGAACGCCACGTGGCTATTCGGTCGCGTGGCGAACAAGAAGAGGAGGAAGGGGAGGAAGGGGAAGAAGGCGAAATGCAGGAGCGAGCATCAAGCGAGAAAGCTCGGCGCCAAATTGGATCGAGTCGATGAATTGTTGGCGACCAGGGAAGATAAACTCGGTAAGCTTCGTATCTCCTCTATGAAATTACCAGTTTATTTTCTTAGACCAAGTATGGCACAAGTCAAATCAATTACATTTCAAGAATCTCTACGAGACTCGCAATCGGTTCTGTTCTATCGGTCGCAACACACAGCAACCGAGTCTATGCCAAAAAAAAAAAAAGTATCCTAATTTTCTGGATATTCAGGTTTCTTTTACTCTATTTTGGACCTGTAAAAAATCAATCAATGTGTCGATCATGTGAAGATGGTGATGCTAAAACATTTGGTTGGTGGCAGGGTGGAGCAGAAGAAAGCTAGAAGAGGGAGTCAAGACAAAGCATCGGCACCAGCAAAGGATAGGGACTCATGCGAAGGATTTGGAGGCTTTTACGTAGAAATGAAGAGGATGGTCTTGCAATTTGAGGTTAAAGCGAGCGACCCTCATTGCCCCTTTGGTATTGGGAATACACCGAGTCACTGAGGCGCGAACCCGAATGTACACCGAGTTTCCTCTGGTGCAACCGCATGAAGATGGCTATTCGATTCGTAGTCCTTCGCCGACGTGATGATCCAGATGGCTAACCTCGAGGCCTTGTGTCAAAAGATTACATCCTTGCCATCGGGAGTGGTCGGCATCTTGTTTCGATCTGTGGGATCGGAATATCCATCACTATCCTTATAAACACCCGCTTGTGTATCAAAGATTGACTCGAATTGTAGCACGAGTCTCTTTTCAATTTGTCATCGTGAACTTCTATATCATAGAGTAATGCTTTTAACATCTAAACACGATAAATGTATTGAAAATGATGGGTTAGTACATAAATTACCCCTTGTTACTTTCAAGCTAGTACATGTTTGCCTCTCCGTCTAATTTTCATTTGTACGTGCCTAACATGTGATTTTTCAATAATACAAATTGTTATTTCTATTATTTTTTTAGTCGAATCACTCTTTGGCCTCATAGTGTGTTAAAATAAATCAAAAAAAAACAATAAGTACATAAAACTGAAAAATGTAATGAACTTTAAAAAGATTTATCGCAAAAATTATTACTAATAATAACGATAATAGTTTTTCGTAATCTTTATTTTTTCTTTGATTATAATTAACCTTTTTTAATTTTAACACTATTTATACTTTAAACATCTCTTTAATTACCCTTTTGTTTTCATAGTTATTTTTCGCTTGACTAGATAGTGTTGTATTATTCCGAGAAATAGAAGAATGCGTAATTATGCCATGCCAACGGCCATGATCCTTTTAAACGCTAACTTTATGAAGGATATATGGAAAATAAAATTCCAAACCAAGACATTATACAATATTATGAAATATCCGGAGTAAATTGAATCGCATCAATGTTGTTATTTCGATTAACAAGTCCTCGCACTTTTCAAATGACTATCACCTTTTTTCTTATTTTATGTGTTAATTTCATGAATTTTAATTTTTTTTTGGCATATTCATTGGCCAAAGAGTGATTTGACTAAAAAAATTCGAGAAAAATGATAACTTTACCCTTGAAAAATCACATGATAGGAAACATGCAAACAGAAAAATAGACGGAGGGTCAACGGATCTAATAAAATAAAAAGATTGCAGCCACATCGGTTGTTGTTGCCATTCTTTGGCTTTGAGCAAGTGACATGCCTTCTCTCATTGGATTCCACATTGAGGGAACATGTCGTTGATCATATAGTTTAATAATGGATTGTACATGTAAACCTTTCGATGTTTTGGGGGTCGCTATTTATCGATTGCGAAACGTTGTGCAATTGAGAAGCGGGTGGAGACCACCAATTGAATCAGTCTTTGGCATAAGAAGACTCTTAAATGAGTTGCGCATGGCCTCGCCTGACTGCCTCTTACTTGAGATGTGGTCGATTACATCGAGTGTCGTTTGCATCACGACGATTAGACTGCCTCCTACTACTCAAGTGTTTTTACTAGTAGATCTTTTCAATAGTAGAATCGAGCTAATGTAAGAGAGTTAAGAGAAACAGAGAGCCATAAGGACGAAATGTTTATCACTCTTAAGTTCCATTTATTTCGTAGAAAGTGAATGATTTTAAAAATATTTCTCTAGAAATGATCATTTGCATCGCTTATAAAAATAAATAAATGAAAATAATTTTTATCATTTACGAAAATGTTTAGACATAAAAGTTGTCGATAATGAAAAAAATTTACATTGACTAATTATTTAAAACGATACAAGCAATCAATTTTAAGAAAATATTTTTTAAATTATTTATTTTTCTTGAAATAAACCGACGTTTGAAGAGGAGATTAATTGACTTCTGAACCCAAACTTTGTCTTATCTTCATACTGAGGCTAAAGACTTCCACAATTTCAAGGTTTAATTAATCAAAGTGGGGTTGTGGGCAACTTGGTATCAAAGACGAAATCGACTCCTCATTAGTCCCTCTTTTCTCAAATCACGACAATCAAATCTAAAAAGTTGGATAAAATGTCATTGCAGATCAACCGATAATGTTTTTTTAATTGCAATTTAGACTGTGATGAATTGGCTGTCATACCTAACCCAACACACACTAATTCAAAGGTGACGTGACCAACCCTGCCAAATAAAATCTTACCTAATAAAGTTTTCCTTTGGATGATCTGACTAAATCGATTGGATATATTGTCAAGCTCGTGTTCGACTCTAAAAGCATACTCAATGCTCCAAAATTGACTCGAGCTTGATCGGGCTTCAACTTTCCTACTCTAACTTCACTCAACTGAAAAGTCGAGATAATTGAACTCAACTCGACTCCGATCAACTTATAATTGAGGTTGAGCTTGAGCTAAGTATTAATGAGTTTGAGCTCAAACTTGAAAAGATATCCGAGTACCTCGAGCTCGGCTTGAAATTAGGCGAGCCGACCTTGAGCAATCATCAATCCGAGTTCAAGTTACTCGCGAGCGGTTTCACTCATAGCAGTAATGTAATTTCCATGTTAATGGGTGGAAATTTTGAAAATATTTTCCGGGGAAATGGGAGAATTGGTGTTCTTTGTGTGCTATCTTAGGGTGCGCATGAATACCATTCTGTGCCCGGGCGCTATTTCTGAACAGAAATGATTTTTTTTTTATTCTGTGCCCGGAAACAATTTCTGAGTATTTGAAGGCGTTTGATAAATGTCCAAAATTTCTATTCCTAGAGTAGAAAAGAAGAAATGCGTTTGAGTAACTACACAAAATTTCGTTCCCAAATAATATTTTAATAATATTTTGAATTGTTTAAATTTTTTTTTTTTTTTACTTTCTTCTTTGGCCATGGCCGGTCGCCGGCGACCGGCCACAGCCCAGGGCCGGCGAGGGCGTCACGGACCTCGCCGGCGAGGGCGAGGGCTAGACCCTCGCCGCCGGGCGAGGCGGCCTCGCCGTCACGACCCACGACGGCCGACCTCGCCGTGGGTCGTGACGGCGAGGCTCGGCCTCGCTAGATCCGGGCGAGGCCGAGCCTCGCCGTCTACGGGCGAGGCGACCTCGCTGTCGCGACCAACGGCGAGGCTCGGCCTCGCTCGATCCGGGCGAGGCCGCCTCGCCCGGGCGGCGCAGGGTCCAGCCCTCGCCCTTGCCGGCAAGGGGGACCCTCGCCTCCGCCGGGCGAGGGCCGTGACGCCCTCGCCGGCCCTGGGCTGTGGCCGGTCGCCGGCGACCGGCGACCGGCGGCCGGCTCAGCCAGGGAACAACACACAAAATAAGAAATGAAAAAAAAGAAAAAGAAGAAAAAAAACTGATTCTCAAAATTGTGCCGAGAAACAAGAAGAACTTTTTTTACTTCTTGTTTCTCTTCCAAAATCGTTTCTCGGCACAAATTTTTGCAAAAATGTGTCAAGGAACAAAAAAGTTTACCAAACGCATTTCTGTTCCCAAACTATTTCTGGGAACAAAAGAACAGAAATTTTCGCTATTTGGCACGTTACCAAACGGGCCCTTAGAATCACTAATTCTGGTTCACTAATAATTCGTAATATTAAAAGCCATTCCCAGTGTGAACACGATATTGGACAAATCCAATAGATGGAAAAAAATCTGTCGAATTAAGAGATTGAAGGGTAAGTAAGGGTGCATTTATTTTGCGAAAAATGAATTATTTAAAAAATATTTTCCTAAAAATGATCGATTGTATCTCTTACAAAAATGAATTAACGAAAAATCTTTTCATCGTCAACGAAAATATTTAGACATAAATTTTTATCGATAATAAAATTATTTTTTCATTGACTAATTATTGCGAGCAATAAAAGCTATTATTATTAAAAAAAAATTCAAATCATTCATTTTTCGTAAAGTAAACAGAGCCTAAAATAGTCCATCATGCCACCTCCAAAAGAATCACTTTTACAAATGCCAGAACTTGTTGGACGTGGTCCTCGAAGACTGGAGCATGTTCTTTCAATTCCTCAACTTTAGTCACCTTATATCATGTTGAAGCATTTAATTTTTCTGTAAATCTTAATTATTTTTCATCCTTTCTAAGCAAAGTAGAAAATTATCGAACCATGGCCCGTTCTCCGGAAGACAAAAACGTCCAACCATGAGTTGCTCTATAACTCATCGCTAGCGCGTTGACGAAATAATTAAGATTTTTACACCACGTTAGTTCCTTTGTTTTCATGCCAGACATTAGCCAACAAGTTAAATAAGGACGTCTGGTTCGAATAACGAGACCTACGGAGGCTCAGAAGCTCTCTCTGACTCACCCGGATTTACGGGGCGATGGCAGTTGCCATCGCTTGTGCTCTCGGCGAGGGTCGCCAGCCCTTGCCGGTGCACAGCTGCCTCGTCTCTTCCTGTTCTTTTGAACTCTCTACCTAAGAAAATTCCTTATACTTTCTGCTGATGTGGCAGTGCACTCCCCGTGGCAATCCACGTCAGTAAAATCGATGGACTTATTCACAACACAAATTTAGTGAAGTTAAAAAGGTTCCGATTGGAAAATAAAGAGTTTTGGAACTAAAATAAGATCAACAAATAGAAAGAGGAGTCCTTAATAGGAATCAAATTAGAAACCCAACTGCACAGAATCCACAATAGCACGGAGAAACCAATTAGCAATTACAATTTTCATCCTATAAACAGATGACTTATGAAAACTCCTGTACGCTGGGAGTAACAGCGGGAGTTGAGATGAATCTATGAGCATGCCTGACAAGCTGAGAAAAGTACATTAGTTACATGGTTCAATCTAAGAGAATAAACATACAGTTTCAATGATCTTGCTATAAAAATTTGAGTGTCAATAACATGCAATAGCATTACAACACTGCATTGGCAGACCACGAGAGAGAGAGAGAGCGCGCGCTCCGTTCTGCACATATAGGGAATGTAGATTTAGCCGCGCAAAGTAACAAAAAACTGGAGGGCAAAAGAAGGCAAGTATTGGAGAAAGGAACGAGACTGTTATGAAATTACTTACCTGCCGAATAAGCTGAGGGCGCTCAATTCTCATAAGAGCTCAGAGCAGCAACGACCGATCCGGTAGTTGCAAAGGTCAAAGCTACATCTGGATTATCTTTCCGAGATGCAGTCACCTTCAGAGATGGGTATAACCAAGTTTTGACAGAATCCACGAAAGAATTCGGATCGAAATTCAGAATGGCGTCCCAGTCCACCTGTACACCCTTTGGTATGCTCCCAGTGAACTCCATATTGGCCGCGAGAAGAATCCCCAACATGACCACGAACCCAACAGCAGCTGTCCCTCTCGACAGCGGCATGAAATTATACCTGTGAAACCACTTGCGATTACACGTGGAGAAGTGAATTGTACCATATCAAGCAAGGAGTCGTTAAGTCAGATTGCTGTACCAGTAATAGGTCATTCTTAAAATGGCATCCCTGACTTTCTCGAGTGCATCAAAATCAGTAGAGCCATATGTTTCACTACAGTACAGATTGCATACGTTCTGCAAATGGAAGAC